AAAAAAAAAAGAATTGCATCTGGTTAAATGAAAAGATGATACTGATGGCAGATTGGAGTAAATGAAAAATAATGTTACTCTATATTAAAAGCACCAAATTATACGCGTCAGGATGGAGCGTTCGAAAGTCTAAATGAGGGGGAAAGTGCCGTGGGGACTGAGACGCTGACACGCACAGGGATGTAAGCCAGATCGTTGAGATCAAGAGGAAACATCCAGAAAGGCGATGCATTTGTTTCTTGCTGCTTGAGAAATGCCAGAGTCTGCTACTTGACCCTGTTTTCCTGATTCTTGTTTTGTTCCCTGAAATGAATTCCTAAGATTCAGGAGGATGTATCTATTTTCACTGGAATTTGGGTCATGACTTGGTTAGACGGCGGCGTGGTAAATGTACTTGTCTGATTACCTGACCTAACAGGGAATTAAAATTAAGAGCACATGGATGCCCCAGACCCTCTGTTGTAACACAGCCACATGCCACATGATGAGTTTTTTGGCCAGCGTTGGGCTCCCAACCTTGGTGGCTTTGTAACATTGTATCAGTGGATGACCTCATGGCTGTAGATTGTACACTGTGATGTTCACACAGTAATGAAATCACATTGAGGATGCATTCCTCAGAATGTGTCCCTGTCATTAAGGGGTCCGTAACTGTGTTTTGATTTACAGTCTGAGACACCGGAGAGGCCTAGGACAGCCTTGATTCTTATCCATGTTTTATGGCTTTTCCTCTGAGATGTTGGAGGCAGGTGTTTGGTTCCAAACGCTGTTTAGAAACCTCAGGCAAGGAGGAGGGAGCCAAGATATAGAAGGAAATCGATGAGCTAGCCAGTCTCAGATTCCTGCCTGCCTGCTTACTGTGTGTTTCAGGGGCGGGGCGGGAAGCCCTCTCAGCTTCGGGTTCCCCGTGTGCAAAATGCGAAAGCCATGCATAGCCATCCCTGGCTTGTACAAAGAGGCCAGCGAGGGACAATTTTGCTGACATTGCTATTGCAACCAAGTGGCAGCTAGAGATTTCAAGGGTCCAGTTAGAGCTAAGTCAGTCTGGGAAGTATGGGAGTCCTACATATCTCTTGGAATGCCTCAGGGCATGGTGAGGGCCTGTCTACAATTCACTTTTTACGGGACAGGGGTGAACCTGCTCTGAGCTAGGCTCATGGTAGGAACGTAATTTCATGTATTTATTTAATTCTTACAAGCATCTTACAGTTCCATTTTACAGGTAAGGAAGTGGGGCATGATTCACAGTTGGATGAGGTGAGGTTTGAAGCCACCATCATGAATTGTCCTCTGGAAGCTCTCCTTCCTGTCTGTGCCTTTCCAGGGTGGGGCACAGGTCCCTCTGGGTGTTTGTTCAGTGCGTTCCCTGGAGCTGCCCATCTGGGTGTGTGCTGCTACCCTCAAAGGCAGACTTCTGTCCTGGCCATGAGTCTATTCTCTGGATTTGCATGGTTCTTGCCATGGGACGACTACCTGTTCGGTACACGGTACTGAATAAGCGATGCTTAGAGATCGGGGAACTTGGGGAAATTCATAAAGAATCTTTCTGCCTCTTCTCCATAATGTGATGGAATCAAGCTCTGTTGGTGGGGGCGAAGTGACCTGCTCGCTGCAGGGCCAGGTGCAGTTTGCTGGGATAATTGGCCTAACTGATGCTGCGCTGTTTATTATGTTTCCATCGCTAAAACAGAATCGGGTCCACGGGAAAACACAACTGATACTTGTTGAAAGGTGAAAGAAATGTGGGGAAAGACAAAAGAGGGAAAGAGAGGAACAAGAAAAGTAGGAAAGAAGAGAGAAAGATTTAGTAAATAAAGCAATGGTTGATGTTTCTTACAGCCATGAATTAGTCTAGCAGGTATGACATTTACAGATTGCCGTATAATCCAACTGTTAGGTTGCCAGATTTAGCAAACAGAAACACTGGATGCCCAGTTAAGATTGAATTTCAGATAAGCAACAAAGTATATATACTGCGCATGCAATATTTAGGACATGTTAATATTAAAAATATATTTGTTGTGTATTTGTTTAAAATGCAAGTTTAACTGGACATTCATCCTGCATTTCCTCTGGCAACCTTACGTGCTTTTCAACTTGAACATGTATTTTTATCAAGTCGTCCATAAAAAAGGTGGCAGTGCATTGGACTAGAATACATTTCTGCCAACAATTTCAAGGTTAGGTGTGCTGTTAAACTTGTACACTATATTACATGATAATGACTATAATTTTAAGTCCTTATATACTTTAGACTCAATGATTTATTCTGTTTAATTCCCATTATTCGAGAGCATGTGGCTTTTAAAGACATATACAAATACATATTGAAATTGTTTTAGATTCTTAGGCCCTAAAATAGGGATGTACATTTCATATTTTATAACAAATTTTTAATGAAAATTTGAATTCAACATTTGGCAGAGAATTCTGTAGGATTTAAGATAGGCCCGAGAAAGGAAAGAGAATCAGGTCAAAGCTACAGATATGGTAAAGCTCCCAAATTTTCCACAATATCATGATATGCTTTATAAAACATTGCATCAGTTTGTACCATTTGTGTTCTCATCATACCAACTCAGATTATATCACTCTGTGACCATTTAGAAGCATACTATATGTAATTCCAAGCAGTGGGTAAGACATTGCATAAATGTCGGTCCAGCAGAGGCCCCAGGCCTGCAGGTATTGTTTCCTAAGTGAACAAACCATCAGGCAGCACCTCTGCACGGAACCTTTCAGGCATATTGATATATTTTCCCTATTAACGCAAATGCACTCAGTGCCCACATTGTTTTTTTCTATGCATTCAGCACACGTACACTTCCATTGCTTTGAATGAGTCCCGAATCCTCCCGATGTTTTCCTGCAGGCCTCTCGGAATCATGGCCTAACGGTGATGACATAAGGGTGAAGCTTTCGCTTTGATAATGATCGCACTGTAATATGATGCCTTGAAGGGCCAAATTAGAAATACTCTGTGCAAATGCAAATGAAAGTAGCTATCTTACCTATGTATTTCACAAGTTCCTTTGAGTATGTTTCCCCAAACTATTGGGAACTGTTTACCTTTGCTTTTTAGAACATTCCTCATACATTTCGGATTTTGACTGAGGGTGGAGGCAGCTTCCTTTTCCTCCCTTCTCCCTAATTTACATAATGCAGTTAAAAAATGATTACAAACCTAACAGGTGGAAAATTGGTCTTTATTAAAGCACAGAATAAATGTTACCTATTTGTCTTCTTTACTGTGGTTTGGATGCCTTACTATTGGACTTGAAGCATCATCTTTTTTTTAAAAGGTATTCTGTTTATGTCCACTTTTTTGTTTTGAAGCACCCAAAAAGCATAATAGCAACTTATATAAAATTTAAAATGTTCTATAGCAAATAAATAAGCCCCGAGCTCATGTGTAGATTCAATAGATGCATTTCGACTTTTCTCTTAAGGGAGTGAGTGAGCTGAACAGATCATACTGGAAACCAAGAGATGAATCTGCCAGTAACATTTAATTCTCATGATAAAGACATGCAAACAAAAATATGGTTTTCATTTAGGTTCAAATCAGAAGCTTAGATCTCAGTAAGGGAAGAGTTCCAGATCTGGTATTTCAACCTTTTGTTTCATTTTGGTCATTCTCACACTCAGAGAAATTTGTCTGCCTCTGAGATGTGAGCCTAAAGCCATACAAATACCCCTCTGTACCTGGAACTCAGTGTCCAAGCCCCTGTGACTGGATCAGAAAGTCAACTGCTTATAAGTAAAGGCATGGACAACAGGCGATGTCAAGGGCTTATCTATTGAGCGATCACTAGCTTCCTCGATCTTATTGTGAGTGAATCAAGAGCAAATCTGTGCTGCAGGATGACCTAAACTGAACTGCAGCAGTTCATGTTGGGTCCTCCTGTTATGGTGGGGCCATGGGTGAAGGACAGCTTGACTATGTGTGAGAGTCTGTAGCATCAGGGGGCATCATGCTGGAGGGGGGGAAACACAAAAAAGGAGAGGAAAGACATTTGTGAAGATCCAGCCTTCCTTTTGCTCAAAGATTGAGAATGGCTTGTGTTTATAATCTGCCAAGATATTTGACCTTGGTCTCTGACCTTTATCTGGTGTTGACACAGATGGGCATCAGTGACTATACAAGGCATGAACTCCTGAGGTACATGATGCAAACCGCCTTAAAACTACGGGACTCTGCATGCTTTGCACATAGGCGTGCAGAGCGCCATTTGTTTCTTAATGTGAAATAAAGTCTCAAGGGCATGCATTGCACCTATTTTTGCTAAAGGTGGACTCTGACTTTACCCTAAAGAAAGCAAAAGATGAGAGAAGAAAATAACTTTCTCTCTTTCATGTGAATGATCTGCAGAGAAGAGTGTTTTTCTACCATCTCCTGAAGGACACGTGCTCTTTCGTAGGAAAATTAATGTAGGAAATATAGGGATTGGAAGGTAGCAATCACTGAAACATAAGCTGCAAAAAGCATTAACGACATGTAAAAATAGTAGAGATGACTTTGAGTTATTTGTGAGCTGATTAAGAAATCTCTGTCCTGTGGCTGCCCTTAGCCAGGGATCCATCTTTATTCTGTGGCTCACCTTTGTACCACTCTGTAAGTGATTAGCATTTCTAAGGGACGGCAGGTGGTGAGAGAAGCTAGCACTTACTAATTACTATGAAAGGGAGCCTTGGCTGGAGCCTGGAGGTTGGATCTTGGGTATTAAGGGAATCATGTATCATGGAGGCCTAGAAGCAACATCCTCCGTGGGCTGCACCTCTCTAAATCCATCTTATTCCAGTTTCCCACTCTATACTGGGGGACTGGAGAGCATGGTTAGACTTATTTATCATGTTCTGGTCTTTTGTAAAAGTCTACGGCAACAAACTACCGTCCTGCTTGGCCTTGGGAGACATCAGCTGCCTGTAAGCAGACCCATCTCCTTTTAACAAGCTCCTCGCAAGGCTGCCGTCGCCATCCCCTGGGAGCAAACCCATACCTGCGAAGCTATTCCTCATCCGCGTCTGTTACAAACTGGGAATGGTGTTCGGGTGACTTGCTGTGCGTTTTGCTTAGGTGGAGTTTAACCGCATGTTTGCTCACAAAAGTCCGACAGCACAACTTACACTTGAATTTAGAGTCTGTGTCCTCTTCGCCAGCTATTGTTTCCGGAGATCTCTGAGCCGACGACACCCGGGAGATCTCTTGCTCCACCTTGCTTTGCTGGTCCACGGCCATGCGGGTCATGTCCTTCATTTGGAAACCCAGATGAGACTCTAAGTGACTGATGTAGGTAGAAGGGGTTCTGAACTGGGAAGCACAGTCACTGCAGTAAAAGATGGGGTGACCCTTGTCCATATTTTTCAGAAATTTGGTCCCGCCCGTTTTCCTAAGCTGGTACTTGACATTGGCCAGCCAGTGGCTGATAGTGGTCATAGAGAGTCCTGTAAACTTGGAGATTTGCATACGCTCTTGAGGGCCCAGGTCGGACAGCAGGTATTTGCCCTCAGAAGTCTGGAAGAGGCTGGAGGCAAACTGGGCTTGCAGAATCAGAAGGTGCTGAGGGTTCCAGTTGGATTGCCGACCTTTCCTTTTATGCAAAGTGGAGACCTCGCTGGAGACATCCTCAAAGCGCCTGACATCCATCTCCAGCTTCATGGGTGGAACCCTGGAGGAAGCGGCGGGCTTGGGAGTGGTTGCCTTCGGGAGGACCTTGACCATGTCGGCGATGTCAGACAGAGCGTGCTTCTGAGGTGGGGACGTACAGGATTGTGCTTGCGAGGACTCTGCTTTCTTGCTTTTGGATTTGGTCAGGTCGATGGGTTGGTCGTTATTCTCAAACAGGTAGCGTCGGGACACACTGGCCGGCCTCGAGGTGGCAGGACTCAGAACTGGCTTGTCCATGACGCTGAGACTGGGTTTGTGAAACATGGAAATTGTGCTTGAGCTTGGGCTGGAGCAGGAGGGGGAGCGCAGGGGCTCCGTGGCCTTGCCCAGGTGATTGTTCAAGACAGACTGCAGGGCGCTGAGCGGGTTGATGCAGGGCAGGGCCGGCGTGGGAGTGGCGAGGGTGCATCCGTTACTAAGAGAAGACGCGGGCTCTAAGGACTGTGGCTTCTCCTCACTGCTCTCCTTCATCAGTTTGTCCTCTTCTTTCAGGGCACACGGCTCAGCCTTTTTGGATGCTGAGGGTGGTTCACTCTTGGAGAAAGAGTCCCCCTCGCTGTAGCTGAACGATGATGCCTCTTCCTGGGGACTTTCTTTCCCACACCCCTTCCCCGCCTCATCTTTGTCCTCTGACTCCCTCTTGACTTGAGTGTACGGGGCCAGGTTTGTGGGCACGGACACCAGTGGCATAACTTTCCACTTTGGTGCAATTGGCCTTAACTTGTTGGCGAGGTTAGGTCGAATCTGCAGAACCTGGGATCCCATGGGCAAGGGCGGCTTGGTGCCCTCTGATAGCTGGTAGGCTGCGTGGATGCTCGGGTACGCGCTCCAGCTGGGAGCACCATTCTGGGCTTTGTTGATGGCTGTGGTTACGGTATTTTCGAGCGACTTCAAAATGTCCCCTCCACCCTTTGAGCCATCTTCTAAATCCTCCTCCCTTAGATACTGGTATTTCATGGTAGGGTCTAAAGGTTTTTGTAGAGGGTCTTCATATTCCTCACTTTTTACGACTTTCTCTTCATTGCTGGTTTCCTCCAGCTTTTCTTTTTTACTGTCTTTCTTTACCTCAGTTGTAGAGGTCGTGCAGTCGGAGGCTGAGTTACTCGATGGCTTGGCGGCCAGAGAATCATTGTTTGGGGTCTCGGATAATGACTGCATTTTCTCCACTGCCAGTGGGTCTAATACCAGCTGCTTCCCTTTCTTGGAGGCAGAGCTGGTGACCTTTAGAAAGTGACCTGTCACCATCATGTGGGTGGTGAGCTGCTGCAGAGTGTCGTGGGAGCTTCCACACTCCATGCACTTTAAGATCTGGGACTTGCAGGCCTCAAACTGCCAGGTGTAGCTGGCACCATTCTGGTAGCCATAGCGGTTATTGGAGGACAGCTGCAAGCTGGCGTTTTTCGGAGAAGAAAAAGAATCAGTGAACGATCCGGTGGTGGAATCTGGGGAACAAGGCCGATTAACGTCAAAAACACGCTTTTTCGCCGGAGTGACCATTTTCGATGAAATGGTTGGGACTGGCTCCTTCAAAGGCACTTTTTGGTAATGCTTTGTTTTTATCATATGGACGCTCAAATCTTGGAGAGAATCGAAGGAGTCCCCACAGAACATACATTTCAGAACCTTTTGAGCATCCTCCTTGTCCATATCTTGGAAAGCCCTTTTCCGAGGCTTGGAATAACTCGTGGGTCTTAGCTTGTCCTTTTTGCGGTTGTCATCTTGGTAGTGGCCCGTTTCATTCATGTGCACAGTCAGCTCGACCAGGGTGTCATAGGCGGCGCTGCACTGCCTGCAGCGGAACCTGCTGGCGCCCGTGAACACGGTCCCACACATCTTGCTGCTCTGACGATAGAGCTGGACCGAGCTGAAGAGGCTGGGCTTAGACACGGATCTGGAAGGCAGGTTCTGCTGCAGGCTTTTGGAGAGCGCATCTTGGTGCCAGTCAAAGTCACCCTTGTTGCTGCCGTTACGGGTGTCGCAGTTCCTCCTCTCGCTGCTGGACAGCTTGAAGCCAAGACCCAGGCCTGACCAGTACGAGTCAGACAGGATGTTGGCGTAGACGGCGGTCATTTTATCCATGCAATTGTGTGTTTCATGCGGAAGCTTGGGGTGCATGTTCGCTTTCTTGTCTGAGGCATCTCTGCTGCAGACGCTCTTGATGTCTGATACCTGGTCACTGGCATCGCTCAGCAGAGACTCGTTCTCAGCATCCTGATTGGACAGATGACTTCCCGGAGAGTTCTGGCAGCTGAAATAGCCTTTCTGCTCCGGGCCTGTCTCTAGCTCCTCATCTGTCCCTGTGTCGTTGCTGCCCTGAGGCTGAGCTACTGAGCCACTGTCCTCTTCCTCCTCCTCTTCTTCTTTTATTTCCTCCTCTTCTTTCAGCTGCTCCTCCTGGGCGTAGCCTGCAAGAGAAGGAGAAGAGATGAAATAAACCGGTGGTTACACGTTCCATTCCACATCCCCGCTTACACTGAGAGCTTCCCAGGCTGAACTGACTGGCAATTAGGTCTGCGTGTTTATGAAACTCAAGACCTGGACACAGGGAAGAAGCCAAGTAATGTCTTTTATGACGTTGACTGCTTTTTTTTTTTTAAATGGCAAGTGTCATCATTCTCTCCAAATGACTAGCATCCCAAGTTAGTAATTTGATGTTTAAGTAATGTCACTCCTTAATTATTCCTGTCATGAGACAATTGTTGGATTCGTACGCACAGATTTCAGGAATTCAGGATTGAAACACAAATTCTATGAAAACAAAATAGGCCATGACATTGGTTCATATAAAAACCAAGACTTCACCTGTGGCACCACAATGGTAAAATTTCCCCAAATTCTTGGACATATTGGTGCATACTCATGTGAATAGATCTGTTTTTGAATATTGGGAAGAAATTTGGATATGCAGCCAGTATATTTTTGACAGGCAGTGTCTTTTCGTTGCAGTGTTTTTAGGTGTAGAGAGTTACACTGCAAGAAGAGAGATTTCAGGGTATGCAAATAAAATCTTCCATTGATAACCAAAAAATTATGTACAGTCAGGAAATATAATGATCTTAAAATAATCGCAAATGGTGTTAGAATGGGACATTTGGGGGACATCCTATTATTCTCAAACAGGTTTATGAAGACCTTTTCAGACAAGGCTGAAAATGCCCTCTCAATCTTGTTCTTGTAATTTCAAATGTGTTGTGATTTGTGGGGACCCGTCACGAGATGCCAATTACGCGTTTGATTTGTAGATGCAAAGTGCTATTGGGGATGCATGCTTTCCTTTCTCTGAAAGGATTCAGGACTAGTAATTGCATAGGTAAAATGAAGACATGAAAGAATGGATGTAAAGGGAATTAATGGGCAAATATCCATCACTGGAGACGGGGAATGTGACTGCTGATGCCCACGGGCTCATTTTCTTCACCTGGCCTTTCAGACCATGTGAACAAAATGCAGCCAAAGATGCAGCCAAGAAAAGGAGATTCGGCCTTGGGTTTGTGAGGATCGTGTGATCTCAGTGCAATATCGTCCTTACGTGCTTAGAGTTCTCTTTTGATAATGGGTGGCTCTTAAAAAAGCCCTAGAGCAGTGGTGTTTCCATCCACCAAGGATGAAGCCTGGAGGTGGAGCGGTCCTGAGTGGGGTGGGCAGAGAGAATATGAAGAGGGGTGGAGTAGGGACAGGACACGTGGAGTCAGGAACCCCAAAGGATGACAGTGATGATGCACGAGGGTAACTGAGGAATCACTCGCTGCCTCCTAAGAACCAGGCTAACCGTTGCAGCTTTTCCACTTTGTCTAAGATCCACACGGTGTAGGGACCATTAATACGTTCATTGTAGAGGTGGGGAAACTGAGGCTTACAGGTTAAGAAATTCACACAAGTCCACACAGCCAGGATTGCAGGATCACAGCATGAACCCAAGTCTATTTGATAAGCTAATCCATAGTCTTTTCTAGCAGCTGCCAGCCTTTTTCTGTCACTAACTTAATGAATAAGAAATTTTTGGGAGGACACAAAGGTTAAAGGGTAAGCAGTGAGATTCAATTGAAATGTCTCTAGATAGATAAGCACCTCGGGAAGGAGAATTGTGGGAATACTGGAGAGAAGAGCCCGTGAATTTAAGGCACGATGCTATAAAACAAGATGAAATGTAAAATCCCAGTGTAGTAGAGAGTTTTATGGTTGTGTTTGTTATTTTATTGTTACTGGTATGGTGGTTTTGCTTTCCCAGCAAGTTGGCAAGTGGATTTTTTATTAAATTGGTGTTGCCGAGTTGTTCCATAAAATGAACTGAAGAAACAAAAATTACGTGTGCTGGTAGAAGAGCCATTAGTGAGTGGTCACTATTTGCAAGAAAACTGTGGATGAAAGTAACCAAGGGCCCAGGTGGACCAGCCCTTTCATTCTCACAATATTTTCTTTTCCCTGTGCTAATCGGTGTGTTTGCAAAAAGCAGTTACACAGTTAAATTCAAGGAGAAAGTTCATGTAATAAAATTAGTGAGTTGCTACTGAGGCAAGATAGGTATTTCAAAAATTAGGTGAATTTCATCAATCAAACAAGTCATTCTGAGGATGAAATTAGGCAAATTTTATTAAACAAATAGGATCAACATCAAAAAATAATAGTACGCTTTTATTCCAAGATAAAGACTGGCACAACTGCCGTTAGGCGGGACTATTCCAGGCTAAAAGATAAAATCACCATATTTATGGGCAGTGTGATCACCGCAACAAAATGTGCATCTTTGTGCACATACAAGTACACGCGTGCATACACACACACACACACACACACACACACACACACACACACAGAGTGAGGACGCCTGGGTGGGAGCCAGAGCTTTCTGTCATCACAACTGGTTGACCGTGTTGCTGGGTTTTGTTCATCTGCTTAGTACCTAGCACGGTGCCTGGCACTCAGTAGGAAGTGGGAAGTAATTTGTGTTTTGTCTTGCGTGTGCCCTTGAAATGTACCGATGCTTTCTCTCTGCACATGTGCACACTGTGGATGTGTGTGTGTACACACATGCACACACACACACATGCAACATGCCCAGCCAATACAGTCACTTTCAAACAAGAAAAGAATTTTTTTTGTTTTGTTTTGCTTTGTTTTTTGTCTGCTGACATTTGGAAGCTGAGTTTTCTGGACTAGCTCAACCTCACAATCCACTTTGTCCTTCTAAATGGATTCGCAGAAGAAAAGTCGGAGACAGCACACGCCTCCCCCACAATACAGATAAAATTTTCTGCTTAATTAGGCATTGACATGTTTACTATAACCTTTACAGAAGAGTAACTCGTGCTGTGAGACCCTTTTTTGTCTGTTTTCCTCTGCAGAGCAGACTAAATCTCGTGCACCCTAAGGTAACGCGTTGAAAAGCTTATAAAAAAAGTGCCACCGCGTCTGTCAAAGTGAGTGTATTCTAACAATGGCTGAGGGTTCCAAGGAGTTCTAAAGACCACATTTTAATATTCTACGTTTAAAACCGTTCACTCGACTTAAGTGATTTTGTTTGCCACCGGCAGTTGAGGCAGGAGAGAAAAGGCAACCGTAACGGGGGATCGGGGTGTGTAATGAGGATCTGTCTCGCTCTCCGTCGACGGTTTGCTTAATAAGACTGCATCACGTGGAATCTTGGTGGAAGTGGATGAGCGGCAAGTTTATTCCTATGAATGCTCATTTCACAAAAGCAAACTATCACAATGATGCCGAGGTGCAGTGAGAAAGAGCTGCTCTCTCTGCAGCCTTTATGCTGATTTTGGGTTGAAGGCTAAGCTCTATGGCAGCAGATGTCCCCTTTTCTAACTGAAATTGTTGCGTGCATCCCTTACTGCTGCTGGGCTCTGATCACAGGGACCTTCTGTATTCCCGGGACAGTTGACTGATAGGCAAACTCCCGTCCATTCTTTGTCTCATTGATGGTGTCAGGAGACCATTTCTCATCTCTGTCCACGAGGGAGACTCAGTGGCCTGCCTGTGTCTATTTCCGCCACACCCTATATAAAATGGGCAGGCCACGATTTTCTGCCTCTGAGCTGCTTCTTCTGAACCTTCAGGTCACAGTCAGTGAGTGGCCTTTTCTCAGAGAGCTTTTCCCCCGCAGTGTCTCTGCTCTGCGTAGCTCTCCACGTCACCCTGCTCATGGAATGCTGGTGGCACACGCCAATGGTCCTATTTGTTTGTTTATTGATTGGTTTTCTCCTCCCACCGAGTGTGAAATTAAAATGTCCCTCTGAAGACAGAGATCTCACTCCTCCCCAGCACCCAGATCACACCTTGGCACACACGATGACATCCTGCCCACAAGTGCTTTGAATGAATAATGAATGAAAACACAGGTTATGTATGCAAGGGAAGAGGATATTTCAGCTCTTCAGAGGTGCAACTGATACCTGACGGGTAAAGATACTCCCACTCCCGTTCCATGTGTGTGAGGTGGGAATTATAAAGAACCTCCGGAATTTACTCAATGCTAAAATCAGTACAGCTCTATAAATCACCTTTTCACATGAGACAAGCCACCAACGTCCTCTCTGGGCTGAGGACTTACACTTGTAAGTCTGAGGACTGCAAATCAACACCAAGATACAAATGTCAGAAATAAACAGACTTTGATTCACACGTGGGATCCTTGAAACTGGGTGCCAGTTTTGCCCATAACAGACCAAGGTAAACTCCGTGAACTGTTTTGTGCCACAAATATGAGGGGTAATTGTTTCCTGAATTCTTCAATTTAAAATGAATGTTACTGGAGAAGTATTTCTGCTGCAAACTTTTACTCTATTAGCACGTGAGTACCAATCAGAAATAAATTCTTAAATTTTAGAATTTCCCTTTTAAAGGTTTAACAACAAAAACCCTCCAATAAAACCAAAAATATTGTTTTTTTAAAATGATCAACTCAATTCCAAACCTATAGTCAGAATGATTTAAAACGAAATCGTGCAAAATAATTCATGTGTGACCTTATGTTAGACATCAGATGTTTGCTAGCATATATATATATTTTTTGGTGATTGCCTTGAAAATCCACAATTGAGTATGTACCATAGAAACACTGACAGTCTTTTAGATGGCAGTAGAGGTGGAACAGTTGTAACCCAAGAACAATTTAAAACTGAAGAAGGCTGATTTTCAAAAATAAACCCAAATTCAACCAAGATCTCATTTAACAATAGATCCGATGGTGACAGTACCATTTCAGCAATCAACACCACTAAATGACAGATTAAAATCTCATGAAGGCTCTGCAGCGTGGAAGGCAGAGGTGAATGAGGGAAGGGAAGATTTCTCGTCGTGCACCCAGCGTGTATGCTGCTAGATGACGCAGAGCAAGGCCTCCCTGTCACCAGTCTCCAGTGTTTTGGTGACTGATACAAACTGTGACTTATACACACTG